ATGAAACAAACAATTTCTAGCTCACATTTTCAATATAAAGGTATAGGTGAAGCTTTCTATGTCTTAGGCATAGAGATTCACCAAGACAGTTCAAGAACCTTAGGATTGTCTAAAAGAGGCTATATTGAAAAGGTTTTGGAGCATTTTAATATGAAACACTGTTTATCAAGTGTATTGTTAAAGGAGACAAGCTTGGTCTTGAACAATGTCCGAAGACTGATTTGGAACGTCAACCCATAAAGAATATTTCCCATGATTCTACAATAAGAAGTCTAAACTTTACTCAAGTCTACACAAGACCTGACATTTCATAAGTAGTGGGAATTCTGGGTAGATTCCAATAAAATCCTGGTCCAGCCCACTGGATAGCAGTAAAAAAAGTATTGAGATGTCTTCAAGGGACAAAAAATCACATGCTTGTCTATAAATATGTTATTGACTTGGAGTTAATCAGATATTCAGATTCAAATTATTTTGGATGTCAAGACACCAGAAAGTCTACCTGAGGCTTGTTTTTCTCCTTGCTGGAGGAGGAGTCTATTGGCGTAGTGTCAAATAGCCAAATACAACTTCTTCCACAATGGAGGCTAAAGTAGTAGCGTGTTATGAAGCAGTTCCTCAGGTGTTGTGGTTAAGACAATTTATCACAGATTTAAAGGTGGTCTCATCAATAGAAAGACCAATAAAAACATTTTGTGATGATACAACAACTATACTGTTCTCTAACAACATATGTCCAATAAGTTGATGTCGTTACATCGAAATAAAGTATTTTGTTGTTTAAGAGGATGTTTGAGATTGTCGTGTATCGATGGAACATATTAGCACAAATGATATGATCATTGATCCCTTCACCAAAGGTCTTCCACCCAAAGTGTATGTGGCTCAGGTTAGCCATATGGGTTTATGTAAATCATAGTGTTAATAATTCCTTTTAAGATTTTGCAAATGTAAATTTGATAATTTCAATTAAAGTATTCTATAATTAATTTTGTATATAAATATAGTTTTGAAAATGATAGATGCATATTGTATTTAAGGCAATAAAGTTAACCCAAGAATAAATTATTGAATTTGATTCTATAAAGTTTGGTTGTCATTCATTATAAAACGGATAATTTACATTTGGAGGAGGAAAGAAAAGACCCAAGGGCAAGTTGCAGAATGTATTAAATAGGAGAGAGGGATAGAAATCATAATGAGAATGGGTTTTGAAGTATTATCCACCATAGCTTTTGTCTTACTGATTTAGGCTAAGTACTACTTCCCAGCTTCCAAAGTATGCTCTACCTCCATCTCCATTTACTTTTTATTTACAATTGTCATTCAATTTTCATTTCCCAACTCTTATTTATTTTTCCCACATGCACCCCTTATTTCTATTAACTTGCCTTTTCCCTTATTTTGCATCCAATTTTCCCAATGTCTTGGCATACATTCTTGGGCTTAATTCACAACTGAATTCAAAATCTTCTATTATTATCATTTGTCGTCAAATGGTTAAGAATTTTTTTTTTTTTAATGACCGGGGTGTTCGAGTTAGGTTCTGAAAATTGGACCGAATCGGCCAATCGGACCTGTTCGACTGGGAATCAGCGTCATCTCCGGTCTGGTGTCCTTTGAAAACTGATATTCGTAATCAAATTGGATTGAGCCGCGGTTGGACCGTCAGAATAGTGCCGAATTACGGTCCAATTTCGCTGGATTCTGGCATCGTTCGAGGGATATAACACCACCATAAGACTTGACAACATCTCCATGACAAAACCCATCCATTTTCAGTGGCCGCCATCCAGCCTTTCGTCGTTGGCCATCCACAAATCGTTCACACAACCGTCAATCTTATTTCTTAATTCCGGCAAATTCCGATGCCATTATAACTCCCTAACACCACCTAAGATTCGCTGGAACCTTTACATCAAAAGCCCCATCATTCCAAACTTCGATTGGCCATCGATCGCCATCCACCATTGTTCACGCAATTGTCGACCTTCCTTCTTGATTCCAAAAAAATTCTAACACCGGTAGAACTCCCTGACACCACCATAAGATTCGTCGGCACCTATACATCAAAAGCCCTATGATTCCAAACTTCGATTAGCCGTCGATCGTCACTGCTGCCACCACTCACCAGTCTCTTCATGCGACAGGGGTGTTTTGGATAGATTTCAAACCTTAAGGGAATCATGCGTAAATATTTAGCATTGTTTTTGATGAATTTCAAACATTTAGGGACTATAATGTAATTTTATAGAATACGGTCCAATCAACCGATCCAACCGGAAACCGGACCTTTTTACGGGTCAAGACCCAGTCCGATTTTCAGAACATTACTTACACGTATCTCAATTAATCTTTTAAGGTTTTGAAACTATCGACTTGATAAGAACTCCAATGATTAAGAAAACTTATTAGCATATTCTTAGTATCATAATTGTTGTTATTTTTGCATTCTTCTAGTACAAAATAAATTAATTGATTATGTTATGTGTGATTTTTCCATCAAGCTAGGAGAATTGCAGGGTAATAGCCCGATCCAGAACCAGCTTGACTCTACCGATTGTCCAACCCAGCATAAGCTCGCCAAGTTGTAGCTTGACCTAGTTCAACTAGTCGCGACCAATCCTTTCAGTTGTTCAACCAATTCGCAGCTAACCTCAAATCCCAGATATTCGGGAATGATCAGATCGACAACAATCTACGCAATCACAGTGGCCAATTGCGAGAATATCGGAGTTGCATTTCAAACTTAATTGTAATACCTTTATTTTCGCTATTTTCTCTATACAAACTCTATATATAAACTCCTTCCAACGATGAGAAAGAGGTTAAAAAATAATTTTAGGATTATCATTGTAAGCTCTCACGGTAAATACAAAAACAGTGGACATAGGCTCAAGAGTTCATCTCGCCGAACCACTTTAAAAATCTCCTTGTCATTTACTTTATTGCATTTTATTGTTCATTCACTGCTGGTTATCTGTAATCACGCACACACTAGTTCTGATCCCGTCAAGGTCGATCAGACCACTCTAGTTGGTGCAGATATCTGTATCAACAAATTAGATTCAATAATCTTGATACTATAAAATTTTCAACCATATAGCGAGTCTCTAAATTAAACAACCATCTTCCACATCCTGTACGAGCCATGGTTAATTTTAAAATGGGATTTCTTTGTCTATACTTCAATCTTTTATGCTTCTCTTATACCTTAAAAACCATTAAAATAATACAATTTATACTTTAAAAAAAAAAATCAAAACCAATGTAACACAATACATTATAAACAAGAAATATCTTATCTTAATTTTATGCATCTTAAATCACATATTAACATTTTATCTTTTTTTGTGTGTGTTGTGGGGATCATTAAGTATGGACCATAAATGAAAGTTGTATGTATCTCAATCTTTTTGAGCTTGTAAGAAGTTCTTTGAAATACGCGTGGCCCCATACCCATTCATGGATTCCTTTTTTGGTAGTCGTGGGTCTACCATAAAACATTCTTTCCTTTTTACGTAATTCAATCTAAACACACTGTCAACCTACATTTTGACACGAAGCAAGAAGGTATTCTTCTTTTCCTAAACTACATATTCATCTTTATCATTAATTGAAAGAAGTTTAATAAAGACTCTTTATTTTATTATTTATGAGGTCTTAAGTTTGATTTCTCTCAATTTGTTAATAGGGACTATCGTTGGAAGATTACCTAACCAATCTCAGGGGATTAGTTGAGGACCACTGGAGGGTTACCCGATTGTTTTCTCTTCCGTAAGCTAACCTGGACACTTTCGATAAGAAAAAAAAACTACAGTTCTTGGTAGTACTGCAATATTCTCCACACGTACATTATGTTTGCACTTTAACACTTGGTCAATTATTTTGGAATAAGCTTTTATTAACAAGAGTCTTCTAACTTTTTGAATGGAAGTAAACATATAATAACCTATGACAGTTATTGTGGTGAACGTTGAGCTATTTAAGCATATATATATATACAGAAATTAAACATAAGAAAGCAGGTAGAATTGTGAAAATTTAAAATACAGAAAAAGACAAATAGGAATAGAAAGAATTTTATAAAGGCGTATGCTCATTTTCACTTCGTGCTACTGCTACCAATATCCTTCTTCAAAAATGTCACATTCCTGGGCATCATTGCAATTATCAGTGATGAAGACATGCAAAGTTCTTTCTAGCTCTCAACCAACTTATCTCTGTGGCTGAATTGGGCTGGACCGACTATGAAGGGCTGAAATCTTTTTACTCCATCATTCGCTATTCCAATCTGTTGCTTTCCATCAATTAGGCTCATTAGTGTGCATATGATTGGAGCCTAGCTGCCACTTCAACTTTCTCTCCAGCCATTACCAATGGACCATCTCATAAATTCTTATATTCATTTTCAATAAATTAGATAGAAATTGAAATGAAATTTTAATATAATCACCATTTCATCAAGGGATGCTAAATTTGTATGTGTGTTTGGTAGATTAAGAATGAAAGCAGCAGTATGGATTGAAGAATTTGGGATGGGTCCTCTATAGGATCAATTCTCATTTATTGAATTCTGTGTCGTAATTTTATACTTATTTTTTGGCATTCCAGTCTCCAAGGACCACTTTGAAGCTATTCTAATTTTTTAATTATGACGACAAATGCATTAATAATGGCTGACTAGATGACTGAGGTAGATTTCGAATGCCCGTGATCTCTCCCACTCCGCCTTTCAAACTCACCATTCAACTTCAGCTTCAACATCAAATGGATATGACGTTTTGGGTTGTAGATAATCAACTTGTACTACGGGCTTTTGTGGGTCGATTCCCAGCCTAAAATAACCATATTCAGCTTGGGTTGACAGAACCTGGCCCGAAACATTCAATACCGGCCCATTAGAGTCCACATTCGGTTTGACTGAGCTGGGCTTGCCCCAATTTGACATTCAAAAAAATTCGGGTCTTTAATTTACTCAAATTCCAGTCTTTTCTTTTGTAAAAGCTGTCTCGCTCCTCCTGCATCTGCTGTCTGCCTGCCTGACTGGTGTTCGTGATCTCATTGTTCTTTACATCATTCTTTCTTCTCTTTAAAATTCAATGAGCTCCATTTTCACGTAGGGTACTCATCAGGTAACATAAACAACTTGAATTTCATTAGTTCAAGTTAGATCAGCATCAGATTCATTTCTGGATTTCTCTGTGTTCTGAATTAGCAATCTTTTTAAGTTAGTTATATGATTTTGTGTAGTAATGTTGTAAGGTGAAACAGAAGAGAACACTAAAATGGAGTGGTCCACAGTTCAGCACCTAGATCTGCGCCATGTTGGTCGCGGCGATAACAAACCCTTGCAGCCACATGCCGCTGCGTTTCACCATAATCAGGCGCTCATCGCCGTCGCTATGGGAACCTACTTAATTGGTAATTTCATTTAATTAAGCGATTCCTAGCGTTTCAATTCATATTAATTTCGGATTTAATGCTTGAATATTTTGTCTGTGCAGAATTTGATACTTTAACTGGAAGCAAGATTGCTTCAATTGACATTGGTTCACCTGCTGTTAGCATGGCTTACAGTCCTACCAGCAGCCATGCTGTTGTCGCGATTCTTGAGGTTTTGACCTAACTATGTAAATTTGAGTTCTTTGTTGATGTCTGTGTAAATTGATGCTCTTGTGCTGCATTATGATTTGTGAAAGTTCTAAGGTGTTTATTTTAAAACAAATATTAATAGTTTTGTTGTAAAAATTTGTTACTGTAGGACTGTACAATTAGGTCCTGCGATTTTGACACTGAGCAAACTTTTGTGCTGCATTCGCCTGAAAAGAAGTCGGAACAAATTTCCATTGATACAGAAGTTCATCTTGCATTGACAGGTCTCCAACCGGTTGTATTTTTTGGGTTCCACAGGAGGATGAGTGTAACTGGTCAGTATTCTTTTAGGTGTTACACTTTTAGATTTGTCTCTAGTCTTACAATTATGACTTTTATCAATCCTGTAGCTGTTTCTAATTTTTGAATTCTTGTGTGAAGTTGTTGGAACTGTTGAAGGAGGAAGGGCTCCTACAAAAATAAAGACAGACTTGAAGAAGCCAATTGTTAATCTAGCTTGCCATCCCCGTCTACCTGTGCTGGTAATATTTTTGTTTGGCTGTGATTTTGGTCACTAGTGGGGCAGTAAATGCATTGAGATGATCCTGATCCATTCAATTAGATGTATGTTTATTTGGTGGATCAATAAAGAGTTCAACTTATTGAATTTTCAATATAGTAATTTAATTATTTCATTCTGTCATAAATTGAACGTTTTCCCTTTATTATTCTCAAATTTTAAGTTTAGAAATCAGTTGAAAAAAAGCTCTAGTTTTTCCAAGCTCCAAATGGCAGACATGAGTACTAAATTCTTGTTTAAGATATTTAGTGTGTAACTTATTTGCATTTATCGAATGAGAAGAATCAAGATCTTGCAATTTTATTGCCTTTCATCATCGAATCAAGATCTTGCAATTTTATTGCCTTTCATCATCAAACATAATTATTAGGAGAATTCTTGATCGAATGTCTATTTGAATTACTGGAAGTTAAGATGTCCATGGATAATCTGCAACTTTTGCTAGTCTATTGATGCTCCTCTCTCTTAATTTTTGAGAAATTTGAAGTCGTTTATTTGCATGGTTGTTTGAGAATTGGGAGTGGGGCCAAATGTTGTTAGGTTTTGAGTTTTTTGAGCATTATTATGAGTGTGAAAATTCCATTTATGTAACATCTGTTGATGATATAGCTTCTTTTAGGGACAAAGAAAGAACTGTTTGCTTATTTTAAGGGTTCTTGCATTTGCAAAGTTGTATAAAGAGTACCTTAAGTTGAAAAAGATCTCCTAATGTCTCGTTATTGTGATGAATATTAAATTATATAAAAATAATATTCCTATCTAATTTCTTTTCTTGTTACCAAAACTTTTACATAGAAAGGAAATTATGGAGTTATGAAATCTGCCACGATATGAATTGTTTTGTAAAACCTTACTAACTGTGAAAGATTGTTAAAAAGTTAAACATTTATCGTCGGAGAGTCAACCACATATGTTAAGAATTCTGTATGCATTGTGTAATATAATTTTTATATTATTCTTCAGACTGACAACGACGGGATTATTATCAGATTACCTTGATTTGTAATTATTGAAATAGTTAGATGGGATTTTAAACAGAACAATTGATTGAATCTTAATTTCAGTTATCAGATAATTGGGTTTGAACCAATTCAAAATGCAATGCATTTTGCGGTCCTAGTCAGTGGCCATGTATGACAACTTAATAATAGATTCGATCTTCTTGCCATTCATAGTTAGAGGACTTTCTTCCAATTGTTTGTTTGACTTCTTTATCTGTTTCCAGTATGTAGCTTATGCAGATGGTTTGATCCGAGCTTACAACATTCATACATACGCCGTTCATTACACACTACAACGTGAGATGAGATGCTTGGTTCTTTGTATAGGTTTTTTGATATATATTAGCCTCTTGCTGAACAGCAGATGACCTTTTTTTTTTTGTTTTGTTTCATCACAGTTGATAATACAATTAAACTTATTGGTGCTGGTGCATTTGCTTTTCACCCGACATTGGAATGGATATTTGTTGGTGATAGGCGAGGTACACTTTTAGCATGGGATGTATCAACAGAGAGACCTATTATGATTGGAATGTAAGTAATTAGTGGTTCGTTGTTTTTTGGTTAACCTGCTAGTTCAGTGAACTTGATTTCTTCCACCCTTCTCTTTCCTTTTCTTTTCATGTTGCTTGTTTTGCATCTTGATAGAAAAATATTGGAGGCTAGAATGAATTAATGCAAGTATTAATAAAGGAAAAATACATTGGAGAAAAAGCTATTGAGAATAACAGGGTTTGCTGTGGACTCTTTTCACTGGGTGGAGACTTTGAGCTCCTCTATTTCCTTTTAGAATTTTATTCAATTTTACAGTTTCATCTCACTTCCTTTCTTTCTTCTTTTTTGGTCAACAGTGGTCTATTCTATATTTCTTTATATACTTGGTTTAGACTTTCTTCGCATTCTTTTAATGAATTATATATCAATGCAAGAAAGAAAAACAGGATAATTAGTATATCTATTTGTTAGAACTTGCTACTTTTAACTATGATAATAATTAAAAAAAAGGCCTAGATTCTTGTTGGAGTTTACCTAGTAATCAATTCGGCTTCTTATCTTTCTAATTTCCATATTGATTAACTTGGAAATTGACTTTTTTTTTTGGCTCTCTAAAAAATAAATTTTGAAGCTATCTTCATGTCTTATGTTTTGCTACCGAGGGTCTGAGAGCATTCTGGAATTAGCCCTGGCAAAGTTGTATCAGGAAATTCAACTTACCTTATTAGTGTAGAGACAATAACATGCTTGATGTACAGTGGGGGAGAGAAAAGAGGAAGGTAAGAAAAAGCATAGAAAAGAATTATATTTGAAAGGTAGAAAAAATGATTTAGAGAAAGGCTTTGGAGGAGAATCATTCAAGAATTTTATTATTATATAATTAATCTATGCTCTTTGAAGGACAAAACATATGGTCTATATATATTGGCCAAGTCATAAACAAGAAGGAAACTGAAATCTACCAATATTAAGTTGAAAGTGATCTGATCATAACAAGTTAAAAGAGGAAAGTTTGACATTCAGAAGTAATATCTCAAGTATCTTAAATAAAAGTAATTCTCAAATCTATAAAATAAAACATTTTTGATATCAAAATAGGGTCTTAAACAAAAAGTCTTTGCTTCTTTGTTCTGCATTAGTATGTCTTGATTATTCAATATTTTTTATAATAAGATTGGTTATTGATTAGTTAGTCAGCTGTGACAGTGCATGTAGCCCAATGCAAGGGTTATGAATCTTCCATCAATTAAATCCTCCTTGGTTAATATATATATATATATGTATATATTTTTTTTTTTTTTTTTTGCGGTTGTGAGGCCCTTTAACTGCTGCATTATGAGTTTTAAATGTGTTAGCTTAAATCACTACTAGATGTCACTACTGTAGAGGAAAAAAGTGTGAAGCTATTGTAGTATATTCTAGTTTAGCAAGTTTTTTGATCAGGTTAATGTCATAGATGTAGCAGTGAGTTTAGTTTCCTATATCTGTAGCTATCATGTAGTTTTGGCTTACCTATTGTGATTAAACTGGCTATATTACATGCATGCTATGCTGTTTTCCATTTTCAATAATGCCACCAGGTTTGCAACAAACATTTTTCTAAGTGCTTGGGTCATTTTATTTGGATCTGTGGCCTGGATGTGTTAATTACTACAGTGATGGGTAGATCCAGGCACTTATAGTAGACATGCTTGAAAAGATTGTGGCAAGTTTATATATATATTGAAACTTGTCAAAGTTGTGATAATTTTGTTTTGATATATGACATCAACCTGTGTAAATTAGTTACTATATCTTCTTTTCTCTTGCAATCTCTCTTATTGTTATTGCTGCTGTTGTCATGGACTTAACTTCAAGTGGTTTGGGTAATTGCAGTACACAAGTGGGTTCCCAACCAATAATCTCAGTTGCTTGGCTTCCCTTGTTGCGTTTAGTTGTCACTCTTTCCAAGGATGGTACTTTTCAAGTTTGGAAAACAAGAGTGATGCTTAATCCTAATAGACCTCCTATGCAAGCAAATTTCTTTGAGCCTGCCTGTAAGCTAATTTCTAATTTTAACCTAAAAGAATTTCTGTCACCTTCCTGAGAATGGTGGCTCTGTGTTTGAGCATGCCTTGGCGTTCCTCTTTATTTTTATTTTTTATTTTTTAAATTTGCCTCTTAAGAAGTCTTTTTGTACTATGTAAAAATTACCATGCAGTATATGTTTTGAATGACATATAAGTGAATGTGTAAACCCATTAATTTATACATGAATGATAAAATGTATTTGTGTCATATGGTTCCTTAGGCTCCATCCATCTTTCACATGTTCTTGTAATATTAAAGGTAATGGTTGCTGCACTGGCTGACATATTTCCTAATTTGTTTTGCAGCAACTGAATCAATAGACATCCCTCGAATTCTATCTCAGCAAGGTGGAGAAGCAGTTTATCCCTTACCACGAGTTAAAGCCTTAGAAGTTCACCCAAAATTGAATTTAGCAGCTCTATTGTTTGCAGTTACGAGCGCTTCCTCTATGCCATTTACTTATAAGTTACCAGTTAAATGTCTGAACTGAGAGATTGTTTTTTTCTTTTTATAATTCAGAATTTGACAGGTGGTGACAATATTAAGAATAGGGCTGCATACACTAGGGAAGGAAGGAAACAGCTCTTTGCCGTCTTGCAAAGTGCAAGGGGATCTTCAGGTGAATTTTTATTTGAATCTGGATTTTTATGTTTCGAAGTATTTTATGTAAACAGTCATTTTCATTAATTTGTGATTATATTCGTCTTCTTAACATATCTTGATGTCATTATTCTTATCGGCTCTGTATTTGATTGATGACCTGTTCAGATTATCAACTTGACTAGATTATTGCATTTTTGAACCACTAAAGATTAGCAATTTCCAGTACTCTATATTATGTGTTGAACCATTAAATTGGTCAACTTTCGTAAGAGTTTATAATGTGGACAATGCAATTCATCAAGGTTACTGCTATTTGAGTCTTTCAACTGCAATATAAAATTTGTTCCTATACTACTGCTTTGTCTCTCTCTTCTTTTTCCTGATAGTTCAAACTTCAGGATCTAGTTTTTAAAAATGATAGCCAATGAATGCAGCAACTAACACTGTTAGCACTATGAAATGTGAGCAACACCAAAATGATTGCATAGTGAGCCAGATACTGGACTGCCTCTGCCTCAAAATTATTGAATTTTTTTTTTTTTTTTTTTTTGAAATATCTTTTGCCATTTCTTTCATTAATAGCATGATCTGCTATTTGTTGGATGCTCTGAATGGAAGAAGAGAATCCCTTTAGCCTTTTGTGATGTTTTGCCTCCATTTTTTCTAGTCTGTTTTGCTTTGATTATCATAGACACTTTTTAGCTGTGCCATCGTGCTCTGTTAGATGACCAGATATGCTGATAGAATTGATTTGCAGCATCTGTTCTAAAGGAAAAACTCTCATCCATGGGCTCATCTGGAATTTTAGCTGATCATCAACTTCAAGCACAATTGCAAGAGCATCATCTGAAGGGGTGAGTTCAAAAGTATTGTTTTGATGACTGTTGTTTGAATAACATATTTGAATATTGGAACTTAAATCATTTTGAAGATTGGAACTGTTACTATTCCTTTGGTATTAATGATAAACTTGCTATCATTGACTAATGTGATAGTTTGACTATTGTCTGATCTGACAGGCACAATCACTTGACGATTGCAGATATTGCAAGGAAGGCATTTCTTTACAGCGTATGTTGCTTTCTTATTCATCATTGTCATACATGTTTATAGCGCTAGGATCAATGGTTTTAACTTCTGCACAAAATTTTGACACAAGTTGTCTACTATTCAATTAAAGAACTCTAAATGGTGGTGATCAATTCTGATGTATTGTTCTCAGAGCACATTAATAATGCCTGTCAGATGTAATTTTAGCCATTGGAGATGTATTAATTCAATAGTAAAAAAATGTAGTGACATTGATACTCAGGTGTATGTATTTAAATGCAAATATGAGAGAAGAAAAGTTGGATGTGGCAAAGCTGTAATTAATAGGGTTACAACTTGGCTTGAATTTTTTTACCTTCAAACCTTTTGACTGCCATTAAAATATTGGGATGTTTGGTAGGTTTGAAATATATTCTTGGCATTTTCTTATAAAAAACAGAGTCTTGGTAATTGGTCTAATTCATAAATCGTGCAATATTTAGATCTATCTTAAATATACTGTGTAAATTTGGTGGTATGATTTTGGTAAATTTTCAAAATTTATGAGTTTTGTCTAGCTGGGCTTTTAATTTAGTGGAGTTTTCTTAATGGGACATTTAAATTTATTTGCATTTGAAAGAAACATTATTGCATTTAATTTGACAGCTAGGCTCATCAATAATTACACTTATTTGCAAACCCAGAAAGAAACATACACAAACCCAAACAAAGCATATAAGTGGAATTTTATCATGAGTAAGAGTCGATTATTCTCCATATTTTTCTTTAGGCCAAGTTTACATTTATTTGCTTAACTTGACATTTCAAACTTGTGGCTTATATTATAATAATATAATATACATCCTTGATTTGTATCCCAATTTTAGATCCTAAGTGATATGAAATTAATTTAGGATTGCCACGTGAAGGATGCAATAAGATGAAGAATGATATAACAATCATTAAATAGTATGACATCACTTGGGATATAAAAGTTATAATACAAACATGGGACTTGTAGCATTACAATGTAGTTGTAACTCAATCGAGAATTAACTTCAAACCTCTACCTTTTGGGATCTTAACTCTTGTATTTGTCTTTCCTGTTTGATGTGGTGATGACTTGTGTTTGTTATAGCATTTCATGGAAGGTCATGCCAAAAGTGCTCCAATATCTCGGCTGCCTCTCATCACAATGCTAGACACTAAACATCGACAGAAAGACATTCCTGTTTGTCAGGTAGCTCAGTTTTGAAGATTTAAACTGATTATCATATAAGTGGTTACATTGCGTATTTTGTACATCATGATGGCTTTGGTTCATTGGCAGCCATTTCATTTGGAGCTCAATTTCTTCAATAGAGAGAACCGGGTTCTTCATTATCCTGTCAGAGCCTTTTATGTAGATGGTGTAAATATTATGGCATATAATCTCTGTTCTGGAGTTGATAGTATCTACAAGAAACTTTACACTTCGGTAACGTTGAACTGGATTCTTTTTTATTTGATATTGCATGGTGCAGTGTCCCTTATGATAAATTCCGGTTTCAGATTCCGAGCAATGTGGAATATTATCCAAAGTACATGGTTTACAGTAAAAAACAGCAGCTGTTTCTTGTTGTTTATGAATTCAGTGGCACTACAAATGAGGTTGTCCTCTATCGGGAAAATTTCGATTCCCAGTTAGCTAACAGTAAAAGTAGCACTGTCAAAGGTACTTCTGTTTCTTAAACATTTTCTTCTATTGTTGTTAGCCTGTGCATGTGTATATCAGAGCTGAAGAACTACGTGGGCATGAAGCTGATAACAAGTATGGAGTTTTGCAGGTCGAGATGCAGCATTTATCGGGCCCAATGAAAATCAATTTGCAATTCTTGATGAAGACAAAACTGGATTGGCTTTATACATTCTTTTGGGGGTGGACTCACAAGAAGCTGATGAAAAGAACCAGCCAGCAGATTCAAATGTTGGTTCAGTTCGCGGTCCAGTGCAGTTTATGTTTGAAACTGAAGTTGATCGCATCTTTTCCACTCCAATAGGTGCTTGTGGAAATAATATCCTTTTTATTAAGTAGCAATAGCTATTGTAATACATTTTGCTGATCAGTTTTTCCTATTGTTGTAGAGTCAACTTTGATGTTTGCATGTAACGGTAATCAAATTGGGATGGCAAAGTTGATTCAAGGATACCGCCTTTCAACTTCAGATGGTCATTATATACCAACTAAAACTGAAGGGAAAAAGTATATCAAGTTGAAAGTTAATGAAATTGTGCTTCAGGTAATTAGTTAAACTCTTCAATACTTAGGACTCAGTTCACAAATTGAAGGAAAATAGTGAAGGCATAAAATCTCCTATTTTCTTTTCTTAGTGCATGATTTTTTGAATGTCTGGAGCAATTTTAAATATAGTTGGGTCTTCTTTTCAGTTCACTGGAGATCCATTGGGTTCATGAGCTGCACAATGAGATGCAACCCTCTTTGTTTCCTTGGCATGCTCTTATAATTCTTAATCCCCCTCCCTTGGTATCAGAACAATTCAACCTAATGTCATTTGTGTGTTAACAAGTGACTTTTTCAACTAAACTAGCCTGCTTTATTGCAGAGGTAGAAAACTATTAGTTTGCCTATGAAATTTTGTTGTGCTACATGTGTGAGGTATTTGACACAGTGACCTGTCCAGTCCATCTTTTTTACTTATGGTACACATATTTGTTGATAAAATGTTAATGTAACATGAAGTAAATTATGCTAACTAATTAATTTTCTTCAGTTTCTTCTTGAAGGATACGTTTAGTCCCCAGTCCCATTCATTAAAATAACCCAGTGAATCTAGGAGTGGCTGTGCTGATAACTGAGGCTATAATGCTCTAGCTTGTCTACTGAGTGGGGCCGGACCTAGTTGGAAAAAATAGAGTTAATATTTGAGTGATATCATTATGCAATACCATGCCAGTATGCAATTGTTCGCTGTTATTCATGACGGCATGTGCATTCATAGAAACATGGTGAATATGAATAACTAAGAATTGTATATCTTATGCTACTTCTGTTCACATTGAACTAGGATGAAGGATAAAGGCTTAAAGTAAAAGTTAGCACCAGGAGATTCAGGCCTATTTTGAGCAACATTTATGTAACAAACATGTAGCCAACATAATAAAATTTAGCATTTGCCCTTGTTAGTCATATACTTCATCACAATCGGTTTATCTAGAATGAACCTTGCTACGCCATAATAGTGACAGCTGAACTTTCGATTTATAATAGAATCTGCAAACCTATGATTTATCATGATTATATTAAACTGACTTTTGAATGGAAAAAGAAAAGCGACCAGGGGAATAGAGATTTGAGCCTTTCTCTGAGGACCTTTTAACCCTCTTCAATCTATGCAGAAACATGAGCATCTAGTGGATTGTTTCACCTAAATTTCTGAAGCAAAATCTTAAGTCATGGTTCTTAACAAAACCCTGGAAACCCATGTAAAATTGTCTTGGCCTATGAATTGGATATGTTTTTACTCAGTAACCTGTTGAGTTCAAATGAGAGAGCTGGATGATTGGCATTTTATGATATTTTAGTAAATTCATTATCTTCTTTATATAGTTATTATATATGTATGCGTTCTTCATCATTTCTGGATCTGTTTTATGTGCAACTTGTGGTCTTGAATAAATTGTGCAGATGATCTATATTTGTCTTATGAAACCTTGGAATTTTTCAACTTCAACAGGTACATTGGCAAGAGACTCAGAGAGGCTATGTTGCAGGAATTTTAACTACTCAAAGAGTACTTATAGTTTCGGCTGATCTTGACATTTTGGCAAGCAGTTCCACAAAATTTGATAAAGGACTTCCATCAATATCCTTATTCAGAATAACTTTTTTGCTAGACCCTATTGTGTGTGTGTATATAGATATATATATATATATATATACCTTATTCAGAATAACTTAGCATGAAACTTCCTTTCCTTCGCTTCTTCACCCCTGCTTTTTCTTCGCTGTTTTAATATATACTTGTATGACAAGATCAATATGTTTTGTTTGAACACTTAACTTTTGTGCACTATAGATCCCTTTTGTGGGTTGGGCCAGCACTTCTGTTTTCTACCGCTACTGGAATTAGTGTGCTAGGCTGGGATGGAA